ATTATTATTACATAATACTTACTATCTCTGTCGTAGGAAAAATAAAAGTTAAAAAATAAGAGAAAAAAATTACACGCAAATTAATTGAAATTATTTGCTTTAAGGAAACTCTTCAGGCTTGAACGCGATCACTTTTGATGTGATCCGCAAGTGTTAGTAATTTTAATAGCTTAATTTTGTATAATATATGTACGTTTTTAAAGAAATTAACTTACGTTGCTTTTATTGTGTAAGAATGAAATCTTCATTTAGAAATACAATTTCGATAGTACAAGGCATGTTTGTGTTTACTAGCATAGATGAACATTATTTTGTTAAAATTAACCGACAGTAGAATGTCGTATTCAAACTTGTTAGATAGATATTATTTAAATTTTTTTTATATATTTTATTTATTTATTTGATTTCTTTATGTTAGAGATGCTTCTGGGGTCTCAGATGTAAATCAATGGCCTTATAAATGACCTTAGAATGAAAATAACTAGATAATTAGAAGAGGAGGCGCTCACCCTGAGTGTATAAATGCATTTGAAGAACACCCGGAAGGTGAAACAAAAAAGGTATTTAACTGCTATATCTCAAATGGAAACTGTTTAAAAAATTATATAAATGCGGAGTATAACTAAGAGACTGGAAGTTTTCTACTGTACTAAATGCAAGAAGCGAGAAAAAAATTCTCCCTCCTCCAAAAAAAGAAACTTAAACGAGAAATATTACCTGTCAAATAAATTTAGGCAGTTTACGATTTGAAACATTCAGAATAACCTCAATGTTGAAATAATTTATAAGCTAGTTCTCCCTTCGAAAAGAAATACACAATAAAAGGAAGCCGTAACAGTATTACTCATTTTATTCCTTTATGCTTTGTTAGTATCTAATTTTCAAATAAATTTCAAATAAGTTCACAATTTTTAACTTAATTTTTATTCTTTACCCTGAAATACAGAGCTTTGCATCAGATGTAAGTTTTATATTACTGGTAAATAATTCATCTCCTAATTTTTAATTACAGAGTTAGTTAATATAAAAGAAGGGTTAATGCCAAATGTTAAATATAACGCAAAATATCAAATAACAAGTTTAATATAAAATGGCCAAACTTAAGCAAATCTCTCTTACAATAAAACGGCCCTCAGGGATTCACACTGTGAGTACGGGTGTAGCAATTCCGAGGTACCCTAGCATTTCAAGGCTTACCGTTTTGGTGAGACCGGTATCACGACTCGTTGGCTTCAGTGATCTGTTCTTCCTTTTCCTCTTTTCTTGGCTTCTGATTTTCCTTTTTTTTCTCCCTTGTGGTTTCCTTTTCGGAGGTTGGACGCAAAATGAAATGCTGTTACATCTTTTTGTTTTTAGCTTCTAACTGAGAGAAAATTCCCTGCGTGTTTGCCGTACGGGAAGACCCATAAGGCTGAAAAGGAGAAGCCGTGTAGTTGAGGAGCGAGGTACTGTTCCCAACACGTTGCTTTGGCCTCCGTTTCAGTTAAATCAGGAGGTACATACGGATTCCATATGTATCAATCAGCTGGTAGAATTATTCTTTATCTTAGAACTAAGCAATCTGAGCATCTGCTGGACATCTCTTTAAGGGTGGATGGCAATTTCAGAGAGGTTCTGACAGAATATAGACATTGCTAGCACTGATGCATAGGCTTCATCCACTTGTTGGGGCTCTGTGGTAGGCTGTGCGGCCGATGTCGGAATCTTTCTCTTCATTCTTGTAGGGCTAATTCAAAAAATGAAAATGTTAGTATACCTTCTAAAAAACTGCTTGCCAAACCAATGTGAGTACTGTTGGAGATCAGAGTCCCAGCTATCTTGTAGTTACTAGTTCTTCACGAAATTTTCAAAAAATGTCGCCATTATTAATCCATAAATATCTGAAATACTCTACAGGTGAACCAAAAATGTCAAAAAGCTTCGTTCCGAGGATCTTGTCATTGAGACATATTCTGCTCAAAATGGCGCAATTGGGAGAAATCAGTGCGAAAATTTCAGCACACAGCGCCTTCAATTTTTTTTTCTCGTGGTGTTATATTTGGATTAGATCTTCTTTCGGTTTCTGACGAAGAATTTACATCTGAATTTTCTGACCAGGAAGCATGCGCAGCTAGAATTAATTGGTAGTATTGGAGTTATTGGAGGTATGGCGGGCTACTTATCATCAAACACGTAATTTTAACGTTTATATCACTCGACTTGCACACGTATATTAAGGCTGGATGTCTTAATTGCTACGTCAGGTTTTATATTCTTAACTCCTCGCGTTGCTGCCAGTGCTACCTCGCGTTTCGGCCATTTTAAAATATCATGCTGTCGCAGCATTGCATATGCTCGGGGCTCAATGCCTGGCAATGAAAGGGAAAATTACTCCTCTGTGTCTTTATGGGTAAACTGCAAGGGGGAGCATACATCATACTCTACGCAATAGCCAAAACGGAAGTACAAGAAAAGAGGTTCAAACAAAAAATATTTCATGCGCGATTCAATGCCTGGAGGAATAAAAAATATTTCTTACGCAGAGGAACAAAAATACATTATATTCCAAAAGGGTGAAATCGGTTGGTGCAGTTGATACAGAAACTATATTTTATTTTCCCAAATAATATAATAAAACTTGAATCCGTAAAGGCACATATGGAACAAGTAATAAAATTCAAGAATCCACACACACTTCAAAATCTCAGCAAAAAGAAATCACACAAATTTTACAGGATCAGGCAAGCAATTTTAAGAAAACATCAAAGAATGTAACCAAAACCAAAAAAGATAAAAGTCTGAGCAATACTCACTTGCAAGTATGTGTTCTCATCCTGCTGATTCAGAGAGCACATTCTAAAGCATCTATTAACCCAATAATTTACAAAACAGCATCGCCGAAATAAACATTCAGGATGGCCTACTTCATTTCGTTGAACTATCGCAGTTTTCGCCAAAATATTACGAATATTATAGATCTGACAGAAGCTCACTACCCTACCTGCGTTGCGGAGCAGGAATAATTCTGAACTGCAAAGGTTCAGAGATATTCGACAGCCAAGAATGATAATGTCAGTGGTGACCGAGTGCTCGCAGACGAGATGTCCTTGCTGCTCATGACCGTCCTCCGTCTACTTTACCACTAACAACATGTTTTCAGGCTGCATCAGTCCAGATAAACACAAAAGTCTTAAACTTTGTGTATTCTGTATATCATAACTCCGAATGAGGGTATTGATCAACCATCTGGGTCGAGGTACCCAGATGGTCTTAAAGAACAGATGCAAGCTTCTTTCATTATTATTAGTAATTTTATTGGGCACAATATCCTGTGGGTAAGTAGCAATGTTACCTTAAAAAGAAGACATATAGAACAAATGATTGACAATTACTGCCTATATCTCCTAAACAATGGCGAAATTACCTATTTATATGAGCCATCAAAAATATATCATGCTTTTCACTTAACTATCTGGTAATGATCTTTCCAACCTTTTCTATCTTTTAGTGTTAAAATTATTCATATAATAGCCATCACTTCCTATTATCTTATCTTTTGCTGAAGATGAAACAGAGCATTTATAAAGAAATCCTAGACTTTGTTTTTATGGAGCGAACTGGAAACATATTTCTACTCTTGAACTTTTCACAGAAGAGAGGTTCAACACTTTGCCTATTGATGAACCTCTCAACTCGTTACCAAAATAATTTTCCAGGCAGCTGAATTTTCTATTCCAAGGTCATCTTCTAGACTACCGAGGTACGATGCCTTGTCTAATCTTCTCGAATACAAAAGAGCTAGAGCAAAAGCTAGGAAAGTATTCCGATGAAGACATAGAGGCTCATGGACGCTTTATGTCTCTTCGATAACCTCTCTATAACAGCCAAAGGAGTGTTGGAAAGATTTAGTAAAACTAAGGCCATATATACCAACTACTCTTTTCCATATTAGAAAGCAACAGCGCAATTATTAACAGCAGAGAAGAAATCGCAAATGCCACTGGGGATTATTTTGCTGATATTTCCAATAGTAGTAATTGCCCACTGTGCATTTCTGTTCTGCAAGCTGCAGTCAGAGAAAATCCAAATTGCATATAGAACCGTAAGTGTCACGGGACTCACACATAACAGATAAAAGTCTATTTTCCGACGACACCCGACGATGCCTTGTCTAATCTTCTCGAATACAAAAGAGCTAGAGCAAAAGCTAGGAAAGTATTCCTATGAAGACATGGAGGCTCATGGACGCTTTATGTCTCTTCGATAACTTCTCTATATCAACCAAAGGAGTGTTGGAAACATTTCGTAAAGCTAAGGCTATATATCCCAACTACTCTTTTTCCATTAGAAAGGAACAGCGCAATTATTAACAGCAGAGAAGAAATCGCAAATGCCACTGGGGATTATTTTGCTGATATTTCTAATAGTAGTAATTACCCACTCTGCATTTCTGTTCTGCAAGCTGCAGTCAGAGAAAATCCAAATTGCATATAGAACCATAAGTGTCACGAGACTCACACATAACAGAGAAAAGTCTGAGATATTTTCCGACGATGCCTTGTCTAATCTTCTCGAATACAAAAGAGCTAGAGCAAAAACTAGGAAAGTATTCCGATGAAGACATGGAGACTCATGGACGCTTTATGTCTCTTCGGTAACTTCTCTATATCAACCAAAGGAGTGTTGGAAAGATTTCGTAAAGCTAAGGCTATATATCCCAACTGCTCTTTTTCCATATTAGAAAGGAACAGCGCAATTATTAACAGCAGAGAAGAAATCGCAAATGCCACTGGGGATTATTTTGCTGATATTTCTAATAGTAGTAATTACCCACTCTGCATTTCTGTTCTGCAAGCTGCAGTCAGAGAAAATCCAAATTGCATATAACACTCCCAACTCAAAATCCTACAGCAGTGAATTTACTAGGCTTGAATTCGAGATATCATTGTCAAAGGCAGGTTGGACAGACCCTAGTCCGGTTGGCATAAGCTTATAAGGTATTTCTCCCTCCTTCTTAGCATGCCTTCGTAGTGTAGTGGTCAGCACACTCGACGCGCATTCGAGAGTCCCGGAGTACGAGTCCCGGCGAGGGCATTGCTCATTTTTCCTCTCTCCTGCTTCGAAATAACCTAATGTCTCTACGAGCTATGATGTGATAAAGCATCTTCCCGGTAAGCCACTGGCAACCCTGCTGAGTATTATTAAACATATTGTGGAATTAGCACAGTTTTCCAAACGCTTCGCGGAATGCTATAGTTATAACTATATTGAAGCCTTGAAAAGATCCAAACTATCGGCCAGTTGCACTGACTAACTGTTTGTATAAACTTCTTGAAAAAATGGTTAATTGCCGCTTAGCCTGATATCTAAAAAGAAATCTCTAGCTGTCATCATATCAAAGTAGATTCCAAAAAAGTAGGTCTAGTACAGACAACCTTCTGTTACGGGAAACAGCAACACTTATTCGTACTGCCTTTGTAAAAGGAATCACTTGGTATCCATCTTTTTCGCTATGGAAAAAGCTTACGACAGGACGGGGAGGTATGGTATCCTGCGATATATATTTATTTCGGGGGGTTAGTATTTCACATTTCTTTAATTCTTCTGACTTTTGGTTAATTTTACATATTTATAAGGAGGATTTACGCGGACATTTATCTGGTTTTGCGCAGAATTTTTTAACGAGCAGACATTTTCTAGTTCAGATTGATATTTTGCTGTCAAATGTATTTGTTCAAGAAGAGAGTGTATCTCAAGGCTGTGCGCTGAGTATGACAATTTTCAGTCTAAGAATTAAAAAGGACTTTTCTGTGCTATGAATGCGGCATTATATGTTGATGACTTGCAAAATAGCTCTCAAAGTGTAAACATGCATTTTATCGAGATACTACTACAAGTAACTCTAAGTAAAGCTACTCAATATAGAGAATGTAATGGATTTAAGTTTTCAAGCCAGAAGACCATCTGTGTCCACTTTTGTCGCAGAAGAAATCTGCGTCCTCACCCCGAACTATTTCAGAGGTACGCTGATTCCGGCTGCATAAGAGACAAAATCTTATGTATAATATTGGACAAGATTTTTTTCGCTTTCAAATTTCAAACATGAGAGGTTTCTCATATTTCATACATATTTCTCATATTCGCAAACATTTCTCATATTTCAAACGTGTATGAAAAAATAAATATTCTGAAACTCTTAACCAATACATGGCAAAGAGAAGATCGGTCTTTTCTGCTTTTCGTTTACGGATCTCTTGTTTGGTCTAAAACTGATTATGGGTAAATTATTTATGGATCTTCACAGTCTTCTGTATTGCTGAAATTAGATCCCTTTCATCATCAGGCTATGCGGATTTGTTCAGGAACTTTCAGAACATCTCCGGTGCAGAATCCATATGTAGAATACCTTGAACCGTCGCTTCAACTGAGGCGTGAAAAAATATTTCGTTTTTACTATTTTATTGTAATGGCAAAACCATCTTGCTCTAGTTCCAGTGCTCAATAATTCAAATAAGCCATTATTTCAAGCGCGACGCCTAATGTATGCCTTCGTTTTCGTTGAGGATTCATTCTCTGCTTGAGGAATATTGCATAACCCGGGATCGATGTTCAGATGTTAAATTAGTTTTAAATTCCTCCTTAGTATAATGCATAAGTCTATCATCTTGATATTTTAAGTCAGTTTGACAAAAATATTACAAGTGAGGTCATTTAAGGGCAACCCTTTGCTGAAAATAGAACTGAGTATAATAAGTATACCCCGATATGTACCTATGCTACAGAAGCTGGACACTATGCTGGTGCAACCTTTGTAATTCAGTTGTCGATTGTCAGTTCCATCAGTATGTGTTCAGTTGTTCAATTTTCAGCTCCACGAGGTTTGCTTTGTATTCATTTCAAAATTGATGGCTATTTACTATGCATTATCATTTATATCTAAACAGCGCTCGCGAAAATTCATCATTTGTTCTGATTCATCCAGTGCTTTAAATTACTTGAGAATGCCTTGTGATGAAGGCAATGCTTTAGTTGTTGAGATTGGGAACAAAATTGTAAGCCTGAAAAGTCGAAGCTTCGAAATTCTTTATTTCTGAGTTCCGGGACATATCGTCATAAAAGGCAATGAGCTAACAGCTATAAAGGCAAAGAACGCTGCTGAAATGTTAAACCCTTTTCAAGCATAAAAACTGCAACTAAGCAGAAAATTATAAATAAATGGCTGAAGATTTGGAGATTTGAGACAAATAATAAATTAAGAAGCATTAAACCTACAGTAGTGAGCTGGGAATTGGGTAGGAATAGGAAGGAAGAAGTTCTTTTAACTCGGCTGAATATAAAGCACTCTAAGGTCACACATGAATATTTGTTAAATGGTGAGTTTGGTTCTCTCTGTACAAGTCGTAATGTCCTGATATTCATGCGACATATTTTAATCGAGTGTCCAAGTTTTCATTATGCTCGCCAGAGATATTTGAATACTCAACATTTAACTTTATACACGTTAGTCGGGAAAATCCCAATTTATTTTCCCTTTTTAAGGGAAATAGGATTTTACCATTTGATTTAGTGTATTACCTTGAGTGGTGGTTTTATTCTACTTAGTATCCTCACCTATTCATTTCGTACATATTTTAAGCCCTCCTCGCGTTTTTACAAATATCACACATAAGATCTAGTTTTTTAATCCCTTTTTACTCACATAACTTCATCTCTTATCATTTATATTATACTTGCCATCTGTATGTATTAGCTTTGTTCTTTTTGAATAGTTTTTGAGCATTGTGTGAGAATACTTTGTCTGGTTTACTAAAGTTTCTGAAGTTTTGAATGTTCGACTTGCAGTTTGACTGATTTGCAATTTTTAATATTGCTGGAGTAATTAGTCACGTGATCGCTTTTCTCCTTTTCCGTCATAAAACTCAACCCACAATAAAATGAAAAAAAAAAAAAAAAAAAAATTCCAGGTTCTTAAAAGGAGCCGTTGAAATTCCTTTACTTCATGGTCTTGTTTCCTTTAGAAGTGCATATTATATTTGTGGAAAAGACTTTGTACTTTTTTCCGTCTTAACTAATTAAGCAGAGAAAATGGAATTTGTTTCCAGTAAAGCTGAAAAATTCATGAATTTGTTTTAAATAAAGCTTTTGTTTTTCTGTATAAATAGAAATATAAAGAAACAGAGTAAACAGTAAAGAATAATTTAATATATTTTTTTCATTGTAAAACTTTGCATCAGTAACCTGCAGATTGTTTTCAGAAAATATTCTGAGTATCACTGAAAACTTTAAAAGGTGTAATACAGTCAATAATATTTCCTGTAAGAAAAATTACATATGCTCAAAATACTACTTCACATAATGCTTTTGTATTCACGCTTTCAAAGCAGTATACAGCTAAACTGAAATTTACCTAGTAGGAGAAATCTAGAAAAAAAAAAAAAAAAAAAAAAAAAAAACCGCTTTAATTATTAAATGACTTTAAAGTTTATCGATACTTTTCTAAAATTCGTTTTTCATATTAAAATCACTGGAAGGTATAAGTATGACCTTATAATATATTCCTTAACACAGGTTTTATGTAATCAATATACCTTACGCAGAAGAACGTACAGGCGTTGCACAGAAAAAAAAGGTTTGAAAGAGAGGAATTGTCGGAAAAGGTGAGTATGTCTTGTCTAAAGATGAACTTAGGACCTTCTAACTTATCGGATCGATGTACTGGCCGTTACACCACCAAAGCGCATGGGAGAAAAACTTTTAATTCCTTACATTTCTTCGTAACATAAAAGCGATTGAGAAGGCAAGTTCTCCCGTTCGTCCTAACCGAGTCTGATAACAAACTGTCATCCATTTTTTTTAGATCGGGCGCGTTTGTGGGAGAAGTTTGTGAATAAGGGATCACTGAAAGGAGGCTCAGCACTTGCTCGAAATTGAATGCGGAATTTCCGGACAAAATTTTAAAACATTTGGATGCTGATCAATTCACCTTAAGGATATGAGAGAAATATGTTTAATTCCTTACTAAGCTATAATTACATGCACAGACCTTTCCTATTTTTTGGCTTCTAACAGCTGTTTATTAGAATAAGTTCCTTGAAAGCATTTTATTTACTAAAAGAGGTCTTTTAAATATCGAACGTCTTCCTAGGTATTTCATATTTACTTGTATCTATGACTTCCTTTGAGTTTTGCGGAGGGAGGTATCACGATGGAGGAGCGTTTTGTTTGCTGCAAGCAAACATTGCTCTTCTTTATGGAGCCTTTTTTTTTCTTCGAGATCTGTAAAGATATCTCTCAAGAACAAGAATCGAGTCCAGTATTCAAAAAGGGAGGTAGGGTGCATATAGATTTTCTGCCTCTTGCTTAATTCCCGAACCCCATGAAATATTTTAAATGGTTAGAAAATTATAGAACAGTATTTTTGCATCCTTATTTACGGCAAAATTTGAACGTGAAATGTGACACTGATTTTTGGCAAGGAAAATGATTTTTCCGGATTTTTAAACCATAATATTGGGACCATAAATTAACATTGTAGCATAAATGAGAAAAATGTAAATTATAGTATGTAAAAAATAGAAATAGAAACAAAAATATATTTGCTTCACTCAGTACATCTGGGGACGATATAACTGAATGTAATATTCGTACAGCTTTTGATAGAAGGAAAAAAATCACTTTATAATGTATTTCTCCCGCTTTCCTAGCGTGCCTTCGCGGTGTAATGGTTCTGCACGCTGGGCCGGTATTCCAGAGGTCCGTGGTTTGACTCTCGGCGAAGGCCTTGCTAATTTTTCATCTTGCCTGCTTCCAAAAAAAAAATACCTAATGTCTCTACAACTTTAACCAGGCTATTTCTAGCAAGACGTAACTGGATAAAAAAATGTAAAAGCTGCAAAGTGCGTCACATTTCATGTAGCAATCAGTGAATCTTATTTATTTATTCTTTAAATGAGCAAATTGAACCCTAATTATTAGTATTCCATAGAACTTAACCAGTTTGCTTTTAATATGTAAATAATGGTATGACAACGTTTGTACAAAGAAATTTTCCCCTCCAACTTCTATGAAAAGTTTATTGAGTCAAAATATTTTTT